ATATGCTTAACTGGAACAGGTCATATGCATTTTTAAAGCAAATGTTTGCCTGAGCAGATGATTACACATAAACATTGGAAGATCAGAAAAATATCACAAGTTTACACTAATCTTATACTTAATTCTCATTGGTTATATCTTTAACGATCACTTAAAATGACTGAAATCCAATGAGCCATCATTTTATTTTCATGATATAAGTAACCATATATGACTGTTTTAATTATAGAGTTGTTTGATAGATATTTTTTAAGTAAATTCATAAGAACACTATAAATAACAGTTACCCTGGTGCTTTGGTGAAAACAGACACTGTGTACACTCCCGCCTGTCTTGAGTCCCGCACCACGAATGCGCCTTCCTTACCCTAAAGACAGAGTAACGAGATCACATAAGATTTCCCACGTTCGGCGGTGCATTCTGTAACACGTCTGGCGGCCGTTTTAATTCAAAGACGACGATGGATAACCGTTTTCCCTTCCTGCTTGCAAAACTTAGCAAAGCAGGAAATTCAACATTGGAGGAAACTTTGTGGTTGTGAGAATTTTTTTTTTTTTTCATGTTCTATGTCAAGTCGAATTGTCGTTGTGCAGGTGCATATGCAGCGATTTTGCAAATGCAACATTGCTGTTGGCGGCACAGTCGCATCAAAATGCACTGTGTCATACAGGGGCTAAATCTTGCCTGTCATCATCATATCAAAATCATTATTTGAAATTTTATGGCCAAACAGAACTGAGTTTTTGTTTTTACCTCTTTCATTAGCAATTCTTCTGCTTGCGCTCTGCTAATGTTTTTGTTGTACCATCTGTTGAGAACACATTAACAACAATTAAATCAGTTTTGGAGGGAAAACATGGTAATTCATTAGCAGCAATGAACACTGCAAATTAAAAGCTTGAGTAACAGAAATGAATTCAAACTCACTCAAATCTTTCAAAGTTGTTGATGGATTTTTCAGCTACGTACGTACTGGGCACAAAACCCGAGTTCCTAATGGGTGACAGGAAAAGGGATTTAGCTAATGGTTCCTCTTTTGAATTGTACTGCTATGTTTTAATGTAAACAGTTCAAATGAATTTGGCATTGGCTGTAATGCGCTTTACCCTCTCTCATCCTGTACAAGCCACCAGGTGGAATGGGAATTCTTAACCAGGAGATACTCCTGATCTTTCTGAAGAGGTAAGTCATTGTCTCCCTGTGGCGTGTAGTTTTGCAAAGCGATGACCTTCTGTTGCCCCGAATCTTCCAGCTCCATCTGGAAAGGGAGGAAAAAAATCCGATTTAAAAACCATTTGTACAGATATGGAAGCTGCAAAAACATTTTTTTGGCAAACATAAGTCAAAATTTTGGGTTATTACCTCTAAATTTCGACATACTATCGTAAACTTCTGAGACGAGATGAGAAAATAACTTGAGATTTAGAATCATGAAGCTGAAGTTTTGCAATAAGAACCCCAAATTTTAAATTTAGCTCTGCCAATCAGGAAAATGTTTTTTAAGCGGTGGAAATAACCTGGTACAAATTATTGAGAGGTCTGAGTGAACTCTTCCCAAAAAGTTCATACACAAATACGAAATCTGGCGCTTTCAAATGAAATTACATTTTCATGGTGCCAAAGGAAAAAGTATCAACGAGGATTTTCATTTGACAAACTTTAATGTACTTCTATTTCTTCTACTATCTATCTATTCAAGTAAACACTCAAACACATGTGTGCTGAAACAACTACAGAGCTGCTGCCTGAACACACAAAATCAAACCACAGACACAGTGGTTAAAAACCAATGCATGACCAAATTATTAAATATGTAGAGAGAAACGGTGTTTAAAAGTATTGCAGACAAACATGACAGGCATTAAAACTGAAAAAGTGATTTGGTCTCCCTCGCTTCATTGGAATATCAGTAATAACCACAATAACATTTCAAAAGCTTGTGTCGTTTGTGTTTTAGATGGTGGTACCTCTGGCTCCGGGAGGCTGGGAAGCGGCTTTTTAGAGGCTGTAGGGGAAACAGAAATGTTAAATTGGAGAGCTATTTGGCCCATCTAAACTCACAAAGCAACAACAGTATGAACTGGATTAGGCAAAACGAAAGAATTTTGTTCAAGTTTACTCTAACCATATGTGCGAAAGCCATACAAATATCTTAATTCAAATGGAATCGCTTCCACAAATCATTGGATTCACGAAGTAGAAGAGAAGGAAAAAGAAATGCTACAAACCATAGCCCACTGGGTCGTACACGTTGCACCCAGTCGCCAGTTTCTCTGTTTGCTGGCAGCATCTCCATTTTCCATCCATCCAGAAGTTTGGGTGGTATTTTGGAACTAAGTTGTTATTCTTTGTCTCTACATCAGACAGAACAAGGGAAATATTGTTTGAAATATCCATCCGTATGTGTTTGCAGTTCATACAATCAGCGGTTTATCGTCGACTTGTCATAGTACTATTGTTATTATTTGACTGGTGATATATGGTAATGGCTTACCCTCTTTAAGAGCTCTGACCCATTTCTGACGGCAGTCATTGTCTGGTGCAAATATGTAGAGGTAATAACTGTCATGAAAAACCTGCAGAAGAATTGAGATTTAAAAAAAAAGGTTATATGCGTTGTCATTTTCAGTCATACTTCACCATACACTGCATATAGTGTGTATGATGCAGTGTTTAGTAGATTTTAATGCGGTAACAATTGAGTTGGTCTCTAGGAAATTATGAATGTTACCTGAAAAGGGTACTTAAAGCTGCATGGTATGGGCACATCAGTACACACAATCTCCACGCACTTAATTCTGGACAGCTCGATACAACCTTTCAGCAAAGGCTTTTTCTGCAACAAAACAGCTTAGATTACAGCAAACAGCCAAGAGTCTGCATTCCTGAAACAGCTCTACAGATTAACCGCACATACTGTACTTACCCCGGGACGACGTTCAGAATACTTCAGGTCTTGGGTATCCAACACAAAAAATCTCTCTTTATAGTTACAGGGTGACACTCGCTTCTTCTGTTGAGATTTTTTGATCAGAGTTCCCTTCAAAATCACCCTGGGGAACATTTTACCAGCTATGAGAAGCGCAATGAGAAATACTGCCTTGTTTTGTCATACCAAGAGAGGCGGCATTGCCTACAGCATGCAGAGACAGAGTAGCAGTGAGTGTACAAGAAAAAAAAAATTGAAGATGATAAGTTGATAGATGTCGTAGAGTTTCCGGCATAGGGTTGTTGCACAGTAAACCACATCCTACGGCAACAAATGCGTTGTGCAAGCGAAATACACGCGTGCGCGCACATACACACAGTTCAGGGTGCTCACAGGCACTTTCACTCACTTAGTGCACGTTGCAGTCAGCCACTATGAGCAGTGCGATCCCCAGAAAAAGGATGACTCGTTAACCTTTACATTTTTCAACGCTTTCCATCAACATTCACTTCAAAGGTCACGGATGTGTCCCACTACTACAGTGAGGTTAGGGTTATAATGTCAGCATTGGGCAAAGGGGGGATTCAATCTAAGGGGGCAAAAAATGGCATAAATGATTTTAACTTGAAACAAGAAAGTAATAGGGGAAAAAACAAAACTTTTTACTGAGATTGTGAGATTGCAAGAAACACACACAAAAGAATCTGTTTTTTTCCTGCCATAATTAATACATTTAGAGTTTGGGGTTACGTGTTCATGATGTCTTTTAGGATTTGCCCTGTTTTTTCTCCATCACTGCTTTTTACTCCCTTATATTTTACTTGGTTTTTTGGGGGTTTGTGCAGGAAAAGAAGGTTAATAATAATAATACAGGTTATAATATAGTAACAAACAATAATATTGTAACAGTAATGATATAGGTTGGGCTCCATTAATGATTTTAAAGTGACCGAAAAATTTCAAACTGCTGAGGTAGTGCTGTCAACTTAGAATGGAAGAAAATGTAGTTAAAGTTAAAATCTGAAAATATTTTTACAGTCACACCGAATGAAAGATTTAAACGATACTACAGCACCACCACCAGGAAAGTGTTCCAACAGATTGGTGTGGATTGAATGAGTTGGGATTGCCATTTTAATTTAATTTAATTTAATTTAATTTAATTTAATTTAATTTAATTTAATTTAATTTAATTTAATGTCAAAAAACAACAACAACAAAACAGATCCAAAAAGCCAAAATTATAAAATCGACTTTGACTGTATATTTTTATACAGTTTGAACTGTGTAAACGTCAAAAGTCAAGGCTCTTTCTTCTTTTGTCAATTAAAAACATTTCCAGAAAATACCTGAATTTAACATTTTTAGGAGTTAACATCTGTGCTGTTGAATGGGAAATGTTCAGCAATTTTGTTCCATATGAGTATTTAATAAAAGAGAATATTTGTCATGCTGTATGTAAATAAGTGCAAATAAGTATAAAATAAGTGTAAAAGTAGATGTGAAAGACCGTGTCACACTAAATAATTTATTTTCTATATCTAAAGCTCCAAATTAAAAATGTGGAAAGTTTTCATTTGTTTTAAAGATGTCACAGAATCAGAAGGGTGAACTGTAGCTGTAGTGTTTAAAAGCATTCAACTGTATTTTATTCTTCTTGTTGTTTTAAGCCATATATAAGTGATAAATTGGGGGGGGAACAAAAAACAAAGGAAAGTTTAGAAAATTGTCTTATACTGACACAACGTTAAGAATCGATCCTTGCATTTTTAAGCTTTTGTCTCTTGTATTCGTAATAGTTTATATCTATTGTAATTTTCTTCTACATTTTATTTACCTCTTAAAAGTATTGGTGGCGTTGTAAACTGCTAGTTTGCTTTGACTAGAAAAATATTTGACATTACCAAATGATAACAGGTGCTGGAGATGGTCACTATTGTAAAAAGACATCAGTCCTGTACAAAATAAGCTTCAAATTAAGCAATTTCTTATCAAAAACTACAAGATCAAGCGTGGTATCCTCACACCCAATCGGTGTTTAGTTTGTTGCATTGCTATCGTCCAATCCGCGGGACAAAAACCAATGACGTCGAGCCAATAGCTTAGGGACTGAAACGAAAATCTTGTTAGTGTGGAATGGAAGGAGCTAAACTAGCTACAAGCTAATGGTCGGACCTAACGGACGTCTATATCTAGCGTCTTATATCTTCAGCGACTAAAGAGTCATTTGAAAGGTGTGTATAAATATCATAAGTCTTCCCGCTTTTAACGGTATTGTGGGTTACCATTATATTTGGTGTAGCAATTTAACTCGTTAGCGGAGGTTAGCAGTTAGTTAGTCAGTCAGTCAGCAGGTAAGCTAACGACTGCAGTTAGTTGGAGAGTAAAGGGCTAACATGTTGATAAAACAAACAAAGGTTTGCGACACTAAATGGTAGTCTTCACTCAACTCTATTCCCATGCAGACAGCGTTTAACATAAGTCATATGCAGATATTTACCGTACAGACAACTGGCTGGGCAGTTTGTGTTAGCATAGGCCTCTTAGCACATCTTTCGAAGCGATGGTCTCAAACAAACACTGAATTTGTTTGGAGTTAGTGCAAGCAAACTATTTAGACACGGCTAACGTCTCTGCAATTAAAAAGCTATGCTGTCTTTTTGCGGCAAACATCCTGCTCCTTGTCTACCTGTGCCCCCAATAGTGAAGTGAGAGAGACACCTTTTCACTACACCGTTTTTTGTGTAACAGTAGGGTAAACCGGAGACTTACTAATGACACTGATGAACGTTCTGTTATATTTAGGCACATAGCCTAAATTAATATGTTTGTGTTCAACTACTGTGAACTGTAAACACTTTAAAAAAAAAAATAAGATACTAAATTGCAAAACCTAATGTATGTTGCTTTCCTTTTTATATATATTGACACGGATTCTTGTGCTTTCAGGTCGGTATCATGGGTGAACCACAGCAGGTCAGCGCCCTGCCTCCTCCACCGATGCAGTACATCAAAGAGTACACAGATGAAAACATCCGCAAGGGTCTGGCCCCTAAGCCACCTCCACCCATCAGAGATAATTACATGATGTTTGGCAACCATTTCCAGTGTGATGACCTCATCATCCGGCCTCTGGAAAGCCAAGGCATTGAGAGGCTTCACCCTATGCAGTTTGACCACAAACGGGAGCTCAAGAAACTGAACATGTCCATTCTTGTGAACTTTTTGGACCTTCTGGACATCCTTATCAAGAGCCCTGGTAGTATAAAGCGTGAAGAGAAGCTGGAAGACATAAAGCTTCTGTTTGTCCATATGCACCATCTGATAAATGAGTACAGACCGCATCAAGCCAGGGAGACGCTAAGGGTGATGATGGAGGTCCAGAAAAGACAGAGGCTGGAGACAGCAGAGAGGTTCCAGAAACATCTGGAGAGGGTGGTGGAGATGATCCAGGGGTGCCTTGCCTCCCTGCCTGATGACTTGCCTCAAGTGGAAGGTCAGGATGGTGCTTGTGATGGGACAAAGAGTGCGCCTCCTGCAGCTAGTGTTGGCTGTTCGTCTGGGCAGGCCACCAGGCTGAAAACAGAACCTATGGATATAGAGGAAGCAGCTGCCAGCTGCATGGCAACGGGTCAGCAGGAGAAGAGCATCCCTACTTCAAGAAGTGACAAATGGGACAAGGACGCTGCCATGTGCAGCATTATTGATGAACTAGCATAGTTTAATATTATGTTCTTTCTTTTTTGTCGTTTCTTTGCTGAACTCTGTGTAAATATGGCACTTTCGTACATGGTATACAGAATATTTTCTTTTTCTTTTTTTTATAACTGGTTATGTCACTGGTCTTTGCTCCACAAGTCTTTAACATGACTGCATTTTGCTGTTGAGTTATACATATATGGTTGTAATACATCTCTGTTCTCATGGTTTCATGCACAAGAGTGATTTAGAGAGTGAACATGTGGTTTTTGCCATACACATAAAAAATGTGTGCCTGGGGCCTCAAGAATTATCAGCATTAAATCAAGTGCAACCACACTGTACAACAGTGATGTTCAGTAACCTCTCTTCTGACTTGGGAACTGTCAAAACACATCATCGACGAATGTTTCTTACTGCTAGCTTGAAACAGCTGGTGAGATAAAATGTTGGGTGCAACATTTTATCTCATTTCATCTTTGCGGTTTATGGCTGTCTCAACTGCATCGGTTCTCAAAGTTGTTCTAGTACGTTTAATTTTAATCCCCAAACTCCACAGTTTTTATCCAACCACTAAGAAAAAAAGTTTTACTTAAAGGTCACATTAAGAAAAAAAAATCCACTCAAGTTTCACTTCACCTTGTTGATTATACTGCACCAGTGTTTCCCACCATGCAGGTAGTGTGAGAACTGCTGCTCTAATAAGATGAGCACTCCAACAAGAGAAATGCACAGTCATGCTCTTGTCCGTGCGTGTCAGTTAATGTGACTTTATCTTTCACGTTTGTGTTGTTTTACTAGGTACCACACAGTAAGGCTGATGCCTAAACCTTTATTTAGAAGTCACCAGTGTACTCGTTCACCCACGAAACTTGAAACTATGACAATAAATGCTGTCACATTAACGGGAAGCTGTGAATGTCAGAAATGGACATTTGAGGGTGCTAGCTGTGTTTTCAAGGGCCCCATTGAATGTTGTTTTTATTTAAAATGTAGAAATTCTGACTAATTCCTGAAAACATATTCCCAGAATAGAAATTTTAACATAGATCAGGTGGGGGTGCTAAGTTTGCATAATTGTAATAAACCCAATAAACAAATTTGCTGTCAGAGTGCAGTCATCTCACAGAAACATAGACGGCTTTATTAGACCCGTCAGAGCAGAGTCGCATGAAAACTCATGTAAATGCTGGACTGCCTTTATGTTTGCAATGCATGATTCTTGTCACTGATTTGCAGATTGTTTAATCCATGGAGAGTCATCACACAAAAGTCGTCATGTATATTATGTAAAATGTCAAATAATTCTGACCCCCTCCCCTTCCCTCTTTTATAGGTTTTTATAAGCATACCTAATGGTATAACCAGTTTTGTGTTGCCTTGCAGCAGTTTGCTCTTACACAACTGTTCAGGGAAAGAAATGTGAGCCTTTCAACTGGTTGCTCGTAAAGCAATTCAAATGCACATGTTTGGTTGTTGAAACTGAAAATACACCTCAGGCTGGTGATTGCAGCGCAGATTTCACTACTTGCGTTTCTGTGACGTTAGCTGAGGCATCTATGTAACTTGCATAAGTTCAATAAATCAGTGCGTGATACACAAGATGTGTTTTGGCCCATTTTTTCTTTTATTTGAAAAGACAACCCAAGGTTGTTTCTCTGAGAATTCATCAAGGATTTCTGTTCTAACGTCTGTGCAAAAAGTGTGCTGTTTTTGAAGCAGGCAGGAGTCATGATGTGTGTCGCTCTGAGACATAAAGAGTATGTGTATTTGGCCAGTTGCAAATTCCAGCTTTATTTCATTGACCTACAGTAAATGCTCTGCAGCACACTGCATTTTATGTAATGATGTAATGGCACAAACTGTATGCACATTTTTAGCTGTGCATAGACGTTAAGCTGTGTTTGTGTTGACCTTTTGATTTAAACGACAAACAGGATGGACAGAACCAGGTAATATGCACTGATCCTTTCACCGCACCCCCTCGGAAGTTATTACCCTTAGCTGGAATTCCCTGCTTTGAGGCAAGGTAGTTTCCATAATTTTCTCCACCCTTGGATTTATCATATCCACAATTTTTCCCCTACTCACACTATACCATCAACTCGTGCCCTGGGGTAGTTTAAATGTACAGATGAAAATAATAGGAAGCGTAGTCGAAGGAATTATGTTATGAAACTCGGCATCGTTGGGTTTCACAACAGGGTGGAAAGCCATTCACTTCACCCAATCGGATTGCTCGCTGCTGCGTCACGTGATCTTTATTTATGTAACGCAATGGTGTTACACAGTCACCTAGCTTCGTGGCCGCGGAGAAGTAGGCTACAGGGGTTAATAGCGGACTCGGATTACTAAAGAGAAATAACATTAATGTGCGGATTTACCGACCTCGGTCGTGCGGCGTGTTTGGACTTTTGGAGCGTCGAGGAAACCGGCGCATTGGACTGGGAGCCGAGAGTCTTTATTGAAAAGGGAACATGGCATTTGTCCCAATACAAAGACTAAGTTAGGGCAGAAAACGAACAATGTCACTGAATGTTTTGAACACGAAAAGAAAATTTGCCAGGTGAGCGTATGAGGACTCAGTTTTGCAGCCGGACAGAAAGAGGTGTGCTTTAGGCAGATGTGTGACACTATTATTAGTGCATCGCCAGCTGCCAGCATGTAATTTAAAGGGTCCTTGCAGTAACAGTACCGCCAAACCGTCTATCTGCAGTGCTTTGACGAACAAAGCGACAGTTCTTCCCGTGGGACACTGTACTAGTGACATAACCAGTTTTTTTAAAAAAAAAAAAATACAATGGAAATGCTGGAGTGTCCCCTTTGCCTCTGTCTGATGTGCGAGCCGGTGACCGTGTCGTGCGGCCACACGTTCTGCCGGAGGTGCGTCGGGGGCTACCTGCCTTCCAAATGTCCGCTGTGCAAAGAGAGGCTAAAACAAAAGGAGGTGAAAAACACGAAGAACAACGTCTTGCTCATCGGCGTCGTGGAAAAGTGCTGGCCCGAAGAGAAGGGGATGAAGTGCCAAATTCAGGAGAAACTCAAAGCCACCGAGTTCGCGGAAGCGTTACGCTTAGCGAACGAGGGGCTGAACTTAGGTAAGTGACACACATGAGAGGTCTTGACAAGTGCAGGCACACAGAAGTGTGCGTGTGTGTTTTCTTTCTTTCTTTCTTTTTAAGTGTTTGTTTGATTTATAAATACTATTATTATTTTCCGTGGAATCAAATTACTCTTTTTGCTCCTTTTCTTCCACTTTTACGCACTGCACATACTCTTTGCTGGTGTCCAGTGATGGTGCAGCCCCCCTAAAAGCCAAGTACCCGGGTTATTAAGAAGGTTAATAGAGAATAAAAAATGATCAAACATATTAAACCATTTGATTGAAACAACAAAGTAATTTGTGATTTGTGCTGAATAAGCAAGATGCAGTGGAAGAAACATCTGTCTCGTATTACGCAGTTAAGCATTATGACATAAGGTGAGATGTCGATTGGATAAACGTATCTGGCACAGACTCAGTCGGTGTGTGTTGCTTCTTTTATGCACCTCTGCAGGAGGAGGGAAATTTAAAGATGTTTTGTAATATTTTAAAAACTAAAGAACTGCAGCCTTGCAAGCTGTTATCTGTGCAACTGCTTACCTTCGGCGTCTTTTGCATGTGCGGTTGTTTTTTTTCTTTTTATTTTCTTTTTTGGTTCATGCAGCCACAAGGAAGTAAAAGGGTCTGCTCCTGCCTTAGATGTGTCGATCAAGTCAGCGGGCGCCCAGGGGATCATGAGAGTGTTTGTGCTATGGGGAATCAGTTGAATTAACCTTCATGTTCGCCTCCTCTGCCAATCCAGTTAAATACTTCTACCTACCTTGCTCCAGCATTGCGGGCTCTTGTGTAATGAGCTCCCTGCAGATTTGTGAACTAGTTTTTTTCCCCTTCTTCTTCTTTCTCTTTTCTTTTGATGATTTCTCATGGCACCTGTTCACTTTCACTTGTTGTTTCAGAGGATCATTACCAAGAACTGACTTTGTGTTTGCAAATGCCTATGTGCATGACCTTGCCCGTTCTTTTGTAATGACTAGTCAAACAGCTTTAGGTAACAATGTCACCAGGAACCTAGAATGCACACTAGTGTGTCAGCTGAAGCTAGAAAGTCTTGAATGGACTGGAATAGGACTGTGCACATATGTGAAGCAGAAGGTGCAGATGCTGTCGGCGCCAGGGGGGTGGAGGGGCTCGATCAAATATTAATTATCTTTATATAGTGTGCCCATGTGTGTTTTATGTCAGTGATTGAGGAGTGGCATTTAATTGCATTGTTTGTTTTATATGGTCAGTAGTGGTGCCAAAAGCAATTATTTCCTTAAGGCGGCGCATCATAAGTTCTTGGATCGATTTCCTCCATGCTCCAGAAAGCAGAACTACTTGTTATGTGGGTCTGTTACTAGCTGGTGCGTGTTTCCTCATTTGAATGTTTGGATTGTTTACATTTTGGCCACTTCTCCTCAAAAGCTCCACACACCATCATCCCTCACCTATCTCACCTTTTCTCACTTCCTCTAGTCCCAGACGACCAGAGTTTGAAGGTGTTCAGGGCCGAAGCGAACTTGGGCCTGAGGCGTTTCTCCGACGCTCTGACGGACCTCGACTACCTCTGCTGCCTTCGCCCCAGCTGGACAGAGGTGAGAACGGAGCGGAGCCAGCCAGACGCAGTGTGCCTTTGCTGTCTGTGTGGTTCTTTTGTCCGGACAACAAAAGCTGATCTGTTGTAGGGAACATTAACAGTGCCACATTTATAGCACTCTGGTGTGGGAAGGTTTGCCGAATTTGAACCCGCACACCCTCCCACTGTCGGCTTGGTTTTGTAACATGCATGTTATGGCACAACCGTAACTGCAGGAAGAAGGTGTTACCTCATTTCATAATTTGCCTTAACATGTCGACCTGATACATTTGAAGCAATTTCCCCTGCTTTTTTTTTTATGTTATGTCATTCACAATGTTATGCAAACAGCTACTTGTGTCATAATGTCATTTAATCACTCCGTGCCAGTGGGTGACTCACTGCTAATGCAGAAAAACATACTGTACTGAGTCCATTATTGCATTGTTTCTGTTTTTATATCTAAATTTAGATAAAGCTGAGGTTATTGTACTCGGCCCTAGAAATCCTAGAAACATAGTTTCTAACAAGATGCTTACTCTGGGTGGCATTACCTGGCCTTTAGTAGCACCATGAGGAACCTTGGAATTGTTTATGACCAGGATATGTCCTTCAGCACACATACTAAACAAGGACTGTCTCCATTCATTTGCACAATATCTCTAAAATTAGAAACATCCTTTCTCACCTCTGCTGAAAAACTAGTTCATGCATTTATTACTTCTAGGCTGCACTATTCATTATTAGTATCAGGTTGTTCTAAAAATTCCCGGAAAAGTTTTCAGTTGATTCAAAATTCTGAGTACTGACGGGGACTAGAAAGAGAGCAATTTTCTCCCATATTAAGTTATTTTCATTGCATCAATGTTAATTCATAATTAAATATCATTAATTAAATCCTTCTCCTCACTTACAAAACGTTGAATAATTAGGCCCCATCTTATCTTAACGACCTCATAGTACCATATCAACCCATTAGAGCTCTTTGCTCTCAGACTGCTGGCTTTCTTGTACTTCCTAGGATTACTGGGAGGCAGAGCCTTCAGCTTTCAGACCCATCTTCTGTAGAACCAGCTCCCAGTTTGGATTTGAGAGACAGACATGGTCTCTGCTTTTCAGATTAGGCATAGAACTTTCCTTTTTGATAAAGCATATAGTTAGGGCTGGATCAGCTGACCCTGAACGCTCCCTTAGTTAAACTGTAATAGGCCTAAGCTGGTGCTTGTCTTATTGCTGGCGTTTCTTTCTAATATTAGGGTCGTTACCTTACAATAGAAAGCACCTTGTCATTGTGATAGTTATATTTCTATAGTTAAAACTGAATTGAACTGAATATCCAGAGATGTTATTTTACAGGAAATGTTCCGCAACACCATCATTTTACAGTTTGACTGACTCCGCCTCTGGTGCAGAAAAAAAAATCTGTAATTCTGCAACATACTTCATGTAGAGTTTTTGTTTAAATGCTCTGGAGGTCTTTGCTTAAACAGACACCAATGTGCTGATTGCATCATTCTGTTTGTGCAGGGCTCCTTTCATAAAGGGAATGTACTGTTGGAAATGGGTCAGCAGAAAGAAGCCCTCATCCACTTCCACCGTTGCCTAAAACTTCAAGCTGATTTTGTTCCCGCAAAGAGCCAGATTAAGAAGGTCTGTTAAACCTCCCAAGAACTCATCATGAGAAATGTAATGTAATTCAAGTTGAAGAGCATGTGTGATTCCTTATGTATAACAGGATGTAGCACAGACATAGACACTGCTAAATGAAAGGCTGGAGTCATAGAAGGTTAAAGCAGCACCTGCAATAGCATTCTGCGCAGAGTTGCGCAAATCATTTAAAGAACAGGTGATCTTAAGAGATGTTTTAGGATCTGACCTAAATTTTTGATATGTGTGAATGTATGATTTTATTTTAAATTCTAGGTCACACCATGGGTCATATGTTCAGAAGGCAAACATACCTCTAATAACAGATGCAATCAGTTATTAGAGAGCTCATTTTAAAGTTTGAACTTCCAAATCAGTTTAGATTTAGTTTGTTTCTCTCTCTCTCTCTGTGTGTGTGTGTGTGTGTTTAAATCAAACAACTGAATGAATGAATAGATAAATAAATAAATAAATAAATAAATATACATGATAGCACTGTATAATATAATCCATTATTACAGGCACAATTCCCCTGTAATTTAATGGAATTTCAATGTTTTTTATTTGAAATTACAATATGGTTGTATTTACCTACAAATACTTAAAGTTATGCACGATAGAATAAATTTGTAGTCATTTTTTTTTTTACAGGAAACAAAGAAATAATTATATTGTAAATACATGTTAAGCTGGGCATAATTTCATAGAAACTTTGTGAAATTTAAGGAATATGGCACTTGTACAGGCTGTATTATGGTGCAGGTGAAGTACTTACATTTTACCCCTTTATTCTAGTGTACCTACCATAAAATATTTGTAAAAATACTTAAAATGAATGTTCACACCCTCATTTTAGCTTTATTTGCATTTCTTCACTTAGGTTTTACTGCAAGAAGACTGAACTAGCTTCACTGTGATGACAGTGAGGTATCATGGCACATTTTCTTTTTATATCGATTTTATTCTTATTCTATTATTATGGCAGATCCTGGAGGCAGAGGGAGTGGAAGTGCCAGAGGAGATGCCCTGCATTTTGCAGGCAGTGTCCGAGTACCTAAAAGAGCCCTGCCCCATCACAACCCTCGGCAGCTCGCAGGGGCCGGTTCATGCTGAAGGCTTCAAACATCCTCATGGAGATAAGGGAGAAGGAAAAGGGAGGAGAGATACACATCAGGTAAACATTTCATATGTAGTTAGAAAATGTGTTTTAAAGATTAAGAAAAACAGACTAAAAAAACCACGAGGAGTGTCAGAATTTGCAAATAGATGGCCGTAGTCCTGGAATTTCCTCTGTTTTAAGGTCCTCCCATGAGGTGAGTGTGGGGAAGCTTATGCACTTAAAAATAAATCCTAACAGATAAAACCTAATATCTGCTTTCTCCAAGGTGAAGCACGACACGGGTACTGAATGCTGCCTCAGCCTCTGCCAAGCGGTTTCCTTCCTCCCCGCTGCTGACGAGGATGAAGAGATGATGACGAGGAAAGAAGACTTGCACGGCAAGTGTAAGTCAATATATCGGTGCTCGCATTCATTATGATTTGACTCTCATCTTCAACATCGGCGTGCCCAGTAGGAGTCATTTTTGTCTTTTGCAACTGCAAACAGCTTTCTCCACCCCCGCCACCCAGCAGATGGTTTGAAACTACACGATGATCGGGACTTGTTTTCCGAAAGGTTAAACTCACTGCAAACGTTTCAAGGGAATCTGTTTTTGTGTCTTTTCTCTTTCAGTCTTAGGTGAAAGTTATCACGAGAGAGAGAACGGCATGGTTATTCTCACCGTGTCGGACTTTGAGTGCCCTCTCTGCATTAGGTGAGTGTGTTGGACTGCTCGCTGCAATCAATAATGCACCGCTGTTTGTAACGGGGTCATATATCTGGCTGGTCTCGCTTTCCTTGCTTTGTCTGGTTAGTGTTTAGCACACATGCCAGCACTCACCAGATTTAACAGCTAAATCATACATAGCATAAACAGCCTAATGTGTTATGTCTGTCCTCTAAAGGTTATTTTTTGAGCCAGTCACAACTCCTTGTGGGCACACATTCTGCAAAAACTGCATCGAGAGGAGCCTAGACCACAACCTCCGCTGTCCACTCTGCAAACAGCCGCTGCAAGAGGTAACTAGACTGAGTGCATTTAAAGCCAATGGGAAGAAGGCCAAACAGCTCCACTTGAAGTAAAAAAGTACTTTTATTATTATAAAAGCTTTGTTAATGCTACCACATTGCGGTCTTCAGGCGCCAGATTTAGCTCAGGCACTCTGACATGAATCTTTTCAATGCTCTACTTTTGTGACAATGTGTGCAAAGATACTGGGCCTCATTTTCTAATAGAAATGTTCTTGTTCTGTGCAAGAAAACTAAGCACACTCAAAATCAATGTTGGATTTATGTTGGCCAATTTAATTCTTAATACTGTGTATGTGTCAGTCAATCTGAATCATTCTAAACCAGTGGGCTCTGGCTTGCTACCTGCAATCTGCAACATACAACATGCTATCACACTCTTTTATCCCCATTTCACTGTTTATAAGGAAACACATTTAAATCTGTACCATTCAAACAAAGGAAAGAGAAGGTCTGGCTGAAGACACTGAAACAATAGTATCTGAAGAGGAAGGAAGAAAAGGCACACTTTCCAAAGTTTTTCCACAGGGGTGATCATGCTTTAAAAGTGGGCTGAAATAAATAGCAGCTTTGCTGAATATATTTTAACCTAATAAAGCTAACTGTGGCTGAAGTAAAAAAGGAAAAAAAGGAAGGTTTTAGCACAAATACTAACAGACCATAAGAAAAAGACACTTAGAGGATATGGCGCAGCTGGTCTGTTAGCCCAAGATGAAAAACTTCAGGGAATTTTTGAACAACACTCATATCAGTCGCTATATGCGGGACTACGGAGGAATAACACTGAAACTGAAGACATCCAGCACGGATTCAAGTTGATTTTAGTAAATGGGATGATGAGATGATACCTATAGGGCATGTTTCCAGCTAGGCGAAGTAAAATAGCCAAAATGAAGTAATCACACAGTTATATCAGCACAGTTATATTTTTTGACAGTAGCTGTATATACAGCTGAGACAAGACTTTAAAAATGTACTATATTTAAAAAAAAAATCAATATTTTAAGGGTGGCTTCAGTAGAAATTACTTGTGCTTCTAATTTGCGTATTTGCATATTATATGCATACTTGCACCACTGCATTTCATACTTCCATTGCTGGACTACTGCCACTGGAGTATTCGTAATCAAACACAGACAAATCAGTCACAGACAAATATATATCTATGAGCACCCTGACACTCACATTAATGATGGAGCACAACAGTGCAAAGTATAATTTTTTTAATGGTTGCAGGGGGGTTTTTTTTGTTTATTTTTTGCAGTACTGTAGTATCTTTTCTTTCTTCTCATTTCCAGTACTTCAGAAACAGGAAGTACAACCCCACAGTTCTGCTCCAGGACATCATGACCCGACTTTTTGCCCCCCAGTTGGCTGAGAGGAAACAGGTCCACGATGCTGAGATGGCTGAACTGTCAAAGTAGGCGCTTCACCGACACAGTCTACACCTAATTATTGTCGCGACTTTAATAGATTGTTTTGTCACAAAATAGCCTGTTGTCCTTACAGTTGTGGTCTTTTCTCTTTCTTCTAGTCTCACTAAGGACATCCCTATATTTGTCTGCACCGTGGCCTACCCTGGAGTGCCCTGTCCACTGCATGTGTTTGAGCCTCGCTATCGGCTGATGATGCGCCGCTGCATGGAAACCGGCACCAAGAAGTTTGGCATGTGCAGCTACGAGCATGGCAGAGGGTATGCAACAGAATCTTTTACCTATTTCCACACGTAGCATACTGTACATCAAATTATGATGATAATGTTGGGATGAGAACAGTGGCCTATATGATTGCAAGTATAGAAATTTAAGATTATTTTCTCTAGGCTGTCTGTGTGTGTAGAGAGATTTTGGGTTTGACATTTTCCCGACTGTGAAGCTCACAACAGGCTAGGTGGAACCTGATGGGAATGTCGGCAGGGCACCGCAAGTAGACAGCGCAGGGGCAAAGTTTAAATCACTGATCTGTGACCCCGAGGGGATGGGAAAATAACAACATGGTCACAGGTTTGCCATGAGATCTGCTGTGCATTTTCATCTGCTTCTGAATAGCGTGCCTTTAAAGATCACGCTACAACCTCCAGGGCTGAAAAATAAAGCCAGCACAGACTGGAAAAAAAAATCTGTAGTTCCTTGAGTGGCCACTGGATTCTTGGCCCCAAAAAGCAAGTCAGTATCCAGAGACCATAGACACTAATGTTGAGGCTTTAAAATGTGATCCAGAAACTAATCTAATCTAACTAATTTCATCCATCCAATATGTGTATATATACAGTCTGTGCTGGGTATACCATGCAGGGTTTTAATAGTTTTGCAATTTTCATTAGTTTTTATTTTTATTTAGTTTTGACTTCAGGTTTTCAATTTTATATCAGTTTTAATTCGTTTTTACCAATTGTTTGCTAGTTTAGTTTAGTTTTTATTTTTTTGAAAATCCTTAGTTTCAGTTTAGTTTTGATTAGTTTCAGTTATAGTTTTAGTTGTGTTTGCAATAATTAAGTGTAACAAAATCCCAGTTTCATCATATCGGTCATTCTCTTCTGCTCATCCTTGGGTATGTTGCTATTCCAGCTACCATAC